GTGAATATTATTCCATACAATGGAGGATTATTCAGTGATAAAAAGAAATGAGCTATGAAGCCATAAAAAGACACGGAGGAACTTTAAATGCTTATTGCTAAGTAAAAGAAGCCAGCTTAAAAAGCGTACATAATGTATGATTCCAACTATATGACTTTCTGGAAAAGGCAAAATTAGAGAGATAGTAAAAAGCTGAGTAGTTTTCAGGGGGTGTAGAGAGGAGGGAGGAAGGGATGAATAGGCGGAACATGGGGGATTTTTAGGGCAGTGAAGATACTCTGTACGATACCATAATGATAGCCACATGACATTATGCATTTGTCCAAACATGCCAAGAGTGAGTCCTAACCTAAACTCTGGACTTTAGTAAATAGTAGCATATTAGCTTTGTCCATCCCAGTTGTAATAGATGTACCACACCAATCAATGCAAGAGGTGGATAATAGGAGAAACAGTGCCTGGGAGTGAGAGAGAGTATTTGGGAACTCTTTGTACTTCCTCGTTAATTTTTCCATAAACCTAAAGCTTCTCTAAAAAACAATCTATTAATTTTTTAAAATAGAATTTCTAATTACCTTGAACCTGAAGAAGACCTGCTGCCTCTGCTTGTGGGGTTGTAGTTGTGAATGGGGTGGGGAGCGTGGGGAACCTTGTTCACCCTAAGGCTGGTGGCCCTGAGTGTTGCCATGGGCAGTGGCTTTGGCACAGCCACAGTGGTGTTTGGTGAGACTCTTGCAGGAGAAGCAGCAAGAGCCATATGGGGAATGGATAGGCAGGCTGTAGATTCTTGGGCTTCCAATGTCAGAGGAGTTTGGCTTTGATTCTATAAGCAATAGGGAGCTATGGAGAATTTTATCAGGAGAGTGCCACGGAGAGCTGTGCTTCAGGAGTCCAGGTGTCAGAATTAGTTTTGCCCCTTCTTTGGGCCTCATGCCTCTAACTGTAAAACCAGGAGGCTGCACTAGGTTTTTGGAGAGGTCATCTTCAGTTCCAAGGTTCTGACAGCAAAGAGCTTTTCCTGACTCTCCAAACCCCTTTTCCTCCCTGCCCCACCAGCTTTTAATTTTTTTGCTGCTCCGTGCTGTACTGTGGCTGGAACCGCCCCCTGGGGGGAATGTCTGCTGAATGGAGTCTGAGCCTTGGGAGCAATTCTGTTTTATTTTATTTTTGTCGCTCCTTTGAAATCTTCAAGGAGAAAACCCAAATCTGTGCCAGCTCCAAGGAGGAGCAACTTGGAAGGGAGTTAGAAATGACGAGATGGGTAATCAAATCCTTTCAGGGTTCCAGAGCATGGGCAAGCTGCAGTCGGAGATCTAGCCAGGACCGTTTCCTGCTAGAAGGATTTGACTCTGAGCTGGCCAAGCTGCAGGAAGGTTCTATGCACGACCCAGCCTGGAGGCTCCAGCTGGTGGTATGAATTGGGGGAGATTCTCTGCTCCTTCCAAATCCTCTTCTGTCATCATAGTGCGATTTATGAGCTTTTCCTCTAAAATATGAGAACACTGGCTCCTGATTATGCCCTGTAAAGCAGGAAAGCAGTGGCTGTAGCATTTCTGATTAATTCTCTTTAGACCACCATCTTGTCACAAAAAGGATACAAGAGGTTGAATACAGATGGATTACAGTCTTTAAAAAAAAAATAATATGGTCTCAGTCTAGTTAGGTATCTGGAGGGTCGTTGCTGCCATCAGAGGGATCTGGGCTTGATTCCTAGATTAATTGCAACACACCAGCTGTTATGAACAGAGGCTGCTTACCTCTGAGCCTCTACCTCCTCATCTCTTGGGGGAGAGTGGGGAACGCTAGCAGCACCTGCCTTATGGGGGACAGATGATGTGAGATAAATATGCAAAGAAGTCAGCACTGGGCCTGCAACAAATGATGGACTCCATAAATGCTAATGATTACTATTAAGATTATTTTGAGTCCCAAATAGTAGATGGTCTGAAAGTAATTTGAAAAATATTTGGAAAGCATTTTTATAACTATGTGTTGATATGGTAGGGCTTGCCCTTTGGGGAATGATGGCATCTCGATCCAATTCAACACGTAGGCCATGTCATAGGCATACCTGTGTAGCTTGTTACAGTTCAGGGAACAAAATGTGACCTTGGACAAGTTCCTGATTATAGTTTACACAGAGCTGTGCTTTCTTCCTCTGTAAAAATGGATAATAATGTCATGTTGTATATGTGTGTGTGTGTGTGTGTACAGTATGGTGTGTGGTGTATGGTATGTGTGTGGTGTGCTGTGTGTGGGATGTGGTGTATGGTGTGTATGTGTTGTGTGGGGTGTGTGTGTGGTGTTTTTGTGTATGTTTGTGTTGAGCGAGACTCCCATAATCACAAAACTTAATATCCTTGGGTAAAAGCACTTGGTAAAAATAAATAGTAATTTACTGTACAGATATTGATTTCCTGATGATCTATTATGTGCGGGGAAAATCCACCTTCAGAGCTTAAATTTCATTTGAGGAGCTAATGTGGATATGACACACGTTCATGAAAGAATTGAAACAACGGCAGGAGGCAGTCAGAGACAAACTGAAGTACCATGGGAGTTCACAGTAGGGCTGGGAGGGTCAAGCAGTCCAGGACTCCCTGGGAGGAACAGTACTTGACGTGGGCTCTAAAGCAGGTTTTAAACTTTTTTGCTTGCCTACCCTCTAAGTGAACTCAGGGGGAAAAAAACTCTCTTGCCTCATACATTTTAACTTGACATCTGAAATGTTTCATTATAAATTTAAGTAGTTACAGAGGATATCATTTCTACCATATTGTAAATATTGATTTTGTAGAATAAAATTACACTACTCTCTTAAATGTATCAAATGGAAATGAAATAACAGAGCAATTTTTTATTTTGCTTTTTTATTGCAGGATTACTTATCTAGAGTAGAATGCACAGATCTCCAGTATGCAACTCAATTTTTTTTCAAAGATTCTATTTATTTATTTGTCAGAGAGAGAGAGAGCGAGCGGGCACAAGCAGGGGGAGCGGCAGGCAGAGGGAGAAGCGGGCTCCCCGCTGAGCAAGGAGCCCATTGTGGGACTCGATCCCAGGACCACGACCGCTTAACCGACTGAGCCACCCAGGCACTCCACTCTATCATACTTCTTTTGATCTAAAACATGTATATAAACTGAAATAGACATTGAAAACTTTTCCTTTGCCCATAGAACTCTAAGTAGCTTTCTTTTGGATTGATTTATCGTTACAGTGATCACATACACAGTTCATCAAAATAATATGGGTATTTTATACATCTGATAAATAATTACTAAACATAAATGTAAGATAGTGTGGGAAATGCTTCTCATAATGAGATGGATGGGGATAGTTGAGGGCAGTGCTTCTCATACTTTAAGGTACATAGGACCATCTGGGGATCTTGCTAAAATGCAGATTCTGAATCAGAAATTCTGGGTTGGGGCCTGAGATTCTGCTTTTCTAATAAGCCCACTGGTGATGCTGATGCTGCTGGTCCACAGACCACACTTTGAGTAGCAAGGGTTCAGGATCCCAGAGGAAGATTTGCTAACACCAACATTCTAAATTGTCCATTTTTTTTTTTTGGTACCCAGATATTTTGACATTTAAGGGCACTAGGCCATAGTCAGATTCTGGATGAAGAAGTTGGTCTTTCTTCTGCAAAGCAGGAGAAGGACCAATGTGAAGAGGGAAGTGGGGAAGGAGAGCAGTTACGCCATCTAGACTGAGACACATTCTCAGGCAGAGCAGGGAAGAGTGGAAACGGAAACAGGATCTTCAGCTGAATCCCTTGTACTTTTCCTGCCTGTGTACCCTTGGGGAAGGCTTTATGTACCCCAGTGTAGGGCTGCCCCCTGTGAAGACCACTTCTCGAAGGAGGCTAAGATGGTGTTGGCCCTCGTTTCCGACAGGGTGCCTATTTATGCAGGTGGGATTGGACATGTCAAAGACTGGTTTGAATAGTTTCGAGAGTCTACTGGGGGTAAATCCTGACAAGTAAAGTTTGTGGCTGGGCGGCGGGTGGCCTTGAATTCCATGCTAAGGAGTTGGGCTTAATACTCAGGCGGAAGGGGGCTGTGGGGTGTTTTGAGCAGGGAGCTGGTGTGAGCAGAGTGCTTTGGGGAGACCGATGTGTTGAGCAGCTTGTGGGATGGCGGGGAAGGAGTTAAAGCGGAGGGCCCGCAGCACGCTACAGGCTTGAAGATGAGGTTGGCTGTCGTTATTGGGATTTGTCTGTGATTTTTATCTCCACCTCCCCAGTTTTTGAACTTTCGCCCTGGTTGCACAGACCTGGTTTGCTGTCCATATTTCCTGAAGTGTGGATGACAGTCCTCTAGGGGTACTTGAGATGTTTATGCATGGAACTCAAGGTGATTTAACGCGGAACACAGACGTGGCCTTAAGTAACCCTGAAACCCATGAGCCCCTGGCATCCCCTTCTCAGCCGCTCTCAGCCCCAACTGCATCTGGAGAAAGTCTTTAGCGCCCCGCCCCCTCCCGTTTTCCTTTTGTTGACAAGAGAGCAGGCAGCCTGGGCTCAGGGCCTCTGGTAAGCAGTAGTCTCTAGATAGACTTTTATAAACTTTTTGTTTTTGTTGAGTTCATTTTCTGTGTCGCAGGATGGCATGTGGTCCTGGTTTTGCCCTCCCTGCAGTGACACAAAGCCGTTCGTTTCAAATACGCTCATTTCAGTAGGAAAAGCGAGCCAACTGACTAGATCATATGGAAGAAATAATAATGCTGGTGGCATGTGGATATGGCAAAAGCCATGGTGGTGACACGCCATGACTCAACTTGGGGAAACATGGGGTGAGACCATGTGACAGAAGCCAGCCCGTGCCAGATCTCCGTGCCGATGCCGTAGAGGCTCTGGGGGACCAGGGTGGCGGTGGGGAGGGGGGCTGCAGGAATCGCGGTGCCTGTGCCCAGGGGCCCCGGGTCAGCCGGGCGGGTCCCACCGCGGTGCCCACCACAGCCTAACACCCGCTGCCCCTTGCCTCTGCCCACAGAGATCCGCACGCAGCTGGTGGAGCAGTTCAAATGCCTGGAGCAGCAGTCTGAGTCCCGGCTGCAGCTGCTCCAGGACCTCCAGGAGTTCTTCCGCCGGAAAGCTGAGATTGAGCTCGAGTACTCCCGCAGCCTGGAGAAGCTGGCCGAGCGGTTCTCCTCCAAGATCCGCAGTTCCCGAGAGCACCAGTTCAAGTGAGGAGGGGACCGGGGCTGGGGCCGAGGGGAGGCAGCAAAGCAGAAAGGAGGCGAAGACTCACTGGAGGCCGACCGATGTGCTTTTAAGGCCCTGGGAGTGCAGGTTATGGACCCCTCTGTGCCTGGCTTCTTCCTCCTCCGAAAGTGAGGATAGAGATAGTTCTCACGCATAAGGATGCTGCAGAGAATGAACGAGAAAAGTACTTGTGGCAGACAGGAAATGCTCAGTAAATTGTCCTTGCTGTTGCTATTATCCTACCAAGCCCCAGGCATTGCGTTAGTCTTCATTTGGGCTAAGGTGACCTCCCCCCTCCTTTCAGGACATCCGGACCCTTTTATGGGGGGGGGATGCCAGCCAGTCCACGTCCCAATTCCCTCAGCACAGGGATCTCAGAATCTCTTCTCCATGGAACTGATGCTCAATGCATCCTCCTTACACCCCTGGAGGATCGGTGCCAGGGGCTCTTTCTCTGCCTCCTTTATTTATAATACACAAACTCCCCGGGTCCTGATTTCTCACACTCCATACTCTGGGTTTGTGAGCTCGGATCCCCTCAGGCATTGACGTGCGCTGCCTCTGAGTCTGCCAGCAACAAAACCTCTTTGCCCTGAACCCACTGGGGCCAGCCTCCTAAGTGCAGGTAGGAGGTAGCAACCTCACCGGGAGAGCGCTCACCGGGCAGGGCGCCACTCTGCGGCTGTCTCTCCCTCTGCCATGCTCCCGGGACCTTCTCCTCCACCTGTCATCTCTCCAGCCAGTAACCCTCAACCACAGGGAATCAGCAACTTGCTCCAACCCTCTGACCCACGCCTCCTTCCTCTGGGCCTGATCCTGTTTTTCTCTCTACATTTAAAAAAACTGTGGTAAAACACACCTAACATAAAATCTACTGTCTTAACCATTTTTAAGTGTATAGTTATGTAGCGTGAAGGATACTCACACTGTTGTGCAACCATCACTACAATACACCCCCACAGTGCTTTTCATCTGGCGAAACAGCAACTCCATTCGCATGAAACACTAACTCCCCATTCCCTCCCCCTCGAATCCCTGGCAACCACCATTTGACTTGCTGTCTCTATGAATCTCACTACTGTAGGGACCTCAGAGAAGTGAAATCATACAGTAGTTGCCCTTTTGTGTCTGGCTTGTTTCGCTTAGTCTAATGTCCTCTAGCTTCCTCCATACTGAAGCCTGTGCCCTTTTTAAGGCTGAGTAATATTCCATCGGATGTATGCAGCACATCGTGTTTATCTATTCACCTGTCAGGGGACCCTAGCTTGCTTCCGCCTTCCTCCCTATATTTTTTTGCCTTCTGGTCTGGCCGGGGAGCGCTCTTCCTTTAAACTCCTGTAAACAACTCCCCTCGTCTGAGCCACAGCATTTGAATACTCACTTTTGTGGAAATCGCTTTATCAAAGAGCAAAAATGCATTACCTCTTCGTAAATACCACTCTTGGTTTTCTACCCAATCTCATTTATTCAAACTTAGCCTGTAGGAGGAAGCTTCTATTAATAACGTCCTCCCAGGCACTGTCTAGGCCCTTCCACACACATAATCTCATTTTTCTGATGGTTTTTTTTTTTTGAGAAAATTTGCTTTTTTTTTTCTTTCCAAATGATGAAAGTAAAATGCTCATTGTATATAATTTAGAAAATACAGAAAAATAGGAGGGAAAAAGTCACTTGCGCAGTCCTGCCCCTCAGAAGCAAATGCTGCTCACATTTTGGTGCCTTCTCCGGCCTATCTTTTTGTCATAACAGCAGTAATGACAGTTTACTGAGGGCAGTAACTAAGCATTTGGGGCCGGGTGGGGGTCACTGCCCTACCTTAAAGCTGAGGACAGTGAAGCTCTGAGAAAGCAGCTTGTCCAGACATGTCTATGGACCAGTCATTGCAAGGAGACAGATTTGAACTGTCATTCTAGTTCTGCCTCGTTGGCCTGAGAGAAGAAATGGCCGGGTGCAGCCTGAGAATGCTCCCCTAAAACCAGAGATACAGACACACGCACGGAAACCCTTGTCTCTGGCTGAGCCGTCACTGGAGCCATTCAGGGCTGTGTGGTCAGGTTGTGGCCTCAGCTCCTACCCGTCTCCTCCCTTCGCATTTTCAGTGTCAACATGAAATGGGGGAACATGGGCTGGGGGGGGTCCCCTGTTCCCTCGCATCGCCTGTAATGAGCTCGGCCAGCCCCTCACGGGTTCATTAACCAGAGGCCACCAGACGGAACAGGAGCTCCAGCTGGTAGTCGGGCCAAGCAGGCTGCGTGAGACGCTATGAAAGTCTAATTAGGGCGTGGGCCCAGGCCAGTGCAGCTGGTATAGGCCTTCTGCACCATGCTAATGTGGCTTTTGGAAGCAGGAGTCTCTAAGGGATGCCTGGACTTGCCCTTTGACCCCAGGGCCAACCAGTGCTGACCCCTGGCTGCCTCTTTGGAGCTCAGTGAACGGGATCTGTGCTGGGCTCTGGGTCCTTCTTCCTGCTGTCCAGAGAAGGCTTGTCTTGCTGTCTTACAGTGTCCATCTCTCTGGCAGGTAGCCTCTCAGGGCTTTGAGGGCAGGACCCAGATCTGGTTATTTTATTCCCACTGCAATGGGCCCAGTGCCAGACAGAGATGGGGTGTTTGTGAATGAGCAGGAGCAAGGAAGGGAGGAAATGTACTTGGTCTGTAAAACCCACTCTGGCTGAGAGATTTTGTTTAGAGAGGGAATTGAGTTGCCCAAGATAGCCCAGCAAGTGAGTGGCCGAGCTGGGATGGGAACTGTCTTAGTTCACTCCGCTGCTGTAACCAAGTACCATAGACCAGGTGGCTTGTCAACCGATTTCTCACCATGCTAGAAGCTGGAAGTCCATCAGAGCAATCATTTGATAGTTTCTTTCTTTTCTCTTTTTCATGTTTGGTTGTTTGTCTCTCTCTTCCGCTAGATGGGAGATCCCACCATGGCAGGAACCACCTGTCTTGTTTCCTATGATAAATCAGGGCCTGGCACTTCGTAGGTACTCAGTAAATACTGGCTAAATAAGCAAATCAACAAATACAGACTATTATGGGCACACAGAGGAAGCACTGGGTCAGACTCAGGCCTTAAACATTGAGGCCTGAAGAGCAAGCAGGTGGCAGAGTTCAAAGGACATGGCCAGAGGGACTGGGTGCCTGCCCCGACCGTACCAACTGTGGGCATGCCCCCTCTCAAGAGAAGGGACAGTATCTGAGAGCAGGGACTGTGTCCTGTTAATCTAGGTGTTTCAGCACACAGCACCGCCCAGGAAAATAAGAGGTCCTCAGTGTGTGTAATATGTGATGGTAGAAAAGAAATAGATGGTGATGGTATCGTTTTCCAAATGTTCGACCTGCCCCAGGTAAACCCTTAGAGCCACCACCTGAACCTTTCTTTGAATCATGTGCCACAGGGAGCTCAGCCCCAGTGAGCCTCACCCTGACAGGGTGCCAGCATGGCTGGGGTCTGGTGAGAGCTCTCTCAGCGTGCAGACCGCTGATTCTCATTGTGTCTTCACGTGGTAGAGAGCAGAGAGAGCAGGCAGGCTCTCTCCTGACTCTTCTAAGGGCACTAATCCCATTCATGAGGGCTCTGCTCAAATCCTAATTACCTGCCAAAGGCCCCGCCACCTGATACCGTCACACTGGGCGTAGGGTTTCAACATACGACTTTTAAGGGCACCCAGATGTTCAGTCCATAACAAGAACTCAGGTCTCTTGATTCTAAGTTCAGTGCTCCTCCATTTGCTCTTCATCTGCTCGGGCAATCAAAAAAATATATATAGCTGCCCAAGGAGGTGCTATGATGGAAATAAATATAATGCAGAATGTTCTGGTTATTTATTCTGTGTAACAGCAATACTTAGTACTAAAACGCAGTACCTCATGGTTTAGTGGGTCAGGAATTTGGACAGGGCTCAGTCGCGTGATGTTTCCGCTTTATGGGGCTTTGACTGGGATCACCGAGTGATCTTCAGCTGGTGGCTGGTCTGGGCTGGAGGGTCCAAGATGGCTTCACCCATGTGCCCGGGGCTTTGGTGGGGATGGCAAGATGGCTTCACCCATGTGCCCGGGGCTTTGGTGGGGATGGCAAGATGGCTTCACCCATGTGCCCGGGGCTTTGGTGGGGATGGCAAGATGGCTTCACCCATGTGCCCGGGGCTTTGGTGGGGATGGCTGCAAGGCTGGGCCCGGCTGGGCTGCCTCCTTCCCTGTGTGGTGTCCGGGCCTCTGTACCTAGCATTTCAGCTGGGTGTCTGACACTATAGCTCAGGGCCCCAAGAGAGCCATGGGGAAGCCCCAGTCTGCAAGGCGAGGTCTGGAAATGGCCCGGCACTGCCTCTCAGCCCGAGCTCCGCTTCAAGGAGATAGGAAAGAAAACCCTTCTCCCATCAAAGGATTTGCAGCCCTCTTTGATCCTCCACACTGAGCCAGAACAGCAGTCAGGGAAGGCACCTGGAGGCAGTGGCTTTTAAGCAGAGACCTGAGGGATGAGAAAGGGCAGCCCTGGGGGCAGCGGGAGGGGAGGAGAGGCCAGTGGGGCTGGAACCGGTGGTGAGGGAGTGTGGGAAGCCACTGAGGCACTGTAAGTAGCGGGGAGCATGACCCCATTTCTGGTTTTGAAAGCCGACCCTGTGTTGGAGGGGGCAAGAGGGGAGCAGGGGGGTGGGATTATTGCTGTGCAGGCGGTGGTGATCATTGCCGGGGGCATGACAGAGCAGACCAGGAGGGGTGGGCAGTGCTGGGCAGTCTTGCAGAGGCAGGACTGAGGAAAAGAGGAATCAAGGATGTCTTCCCTTCCTGACTTGACAGAAGGTCTTGAGAAGAGTGAGGCAGATGCTGCCATCCTGTGCTGAAATCGCCTGTGTTCTATCCTGTCCCCCTGTTGACAAGCACTGGGCGATGAGCTCAGAGATGGCACAGCGGGTGGCTCTTGACCCGGGGTCCTGAACATCCAGCACCAGGTTTGGCATATGGTTGGCACCTACTAACTGTTT